GAAGGTATGGGAAGGGGTGAATAAGAGGCTTAGGGGACGGTGACAAGTCAGATTGCTGCTGTGCTTCTCAAAGTTTAACGTGCATAAGAATCCTTGTGGATCTTGTTGAAATGCAGATTCTGATTCAGTAGCGTTGAGGCCTGAGCATCGGCATTTCTAAAAAGCTTCCAGGGGATGGCAGAAGTGCTGGTCCAAGGACCTGACTTTGAGTAGCAAAGTTCTAGTGTAGAGATGAAGGTGATTCAAGAAGACTGAGAAATGAGATGATCAGGTAGGCTTGGGGCAGGTTCTGGACAGATGCTTGAATTCCTACCTGAGGTGTTTGGACTTCATTCTGTAAGCAAATGAAAACATTGAAATTTTCTAAATAAATCCTCATTGCTGCAGGATGGTTGATCTGGCAATAGGATGTAGTATAACAGAGGTCACGTACACTGTGGGCCAATTAGGAGGCTAATGCAATGATATATTCCTGTATCAAGAATTTATTGGATGTCTACTTTATGTAGGGCACTGTGTCAAACTCTAGAGCCATGGTTCTCAGATGCTATATGCAAAAGATTTACCTAGAAAGCATGTTTTTAAATACATATTTCCAGTCCCCACACCCAGGTTAGTAGATCTATGATGGGAGCCCCCACATTTCTATTTTAAAACTGTACAATCTCTGGTCTTACAGAACAGTTTCATAGGGAATACTGAGTTCAAACACACACACACACACACACACACACACACACAACCTATGGAGCTTTGCCTTCGGGTAGCTTACATGTCCACAATGAGTTTATAAGTAACTCAGAGGAGACAGGAACAGGTTATTTTCCAGCTAGGGAGATCAGAGAAGGTACAGTATGGGAGAGGGAGCATATTAGTTTGGCCTTAAAAGATATGTAGTATTTGAACCTGTAGCCATGTTGGGGAAAGACATTTTAGGCAATGGAAATAATATGGACAAAACCAAGAATATTTAGAAGTTCTTTTGTTTGTTTAAAGATATCTGATTAGTCGAAATCAACATTCCAAAGATAGGTTGGGGCCAGATCTCAAAAGGTTTTTTTTTTTTTTTTTTTGTCTATGTGGCTCCTTAGAGCAAAAGGTCTTTTAAGTTGTTTCTGAGTTTGGACTTTATTTTGTTGGCAGTGGAGAATATTGAAGAATTTTGTCTGGTCATGATATGACCAGAGCTACAGTTTAGGAAGAGCAGTCTCGTGGCAGTGTACAAGATGAACTGGAAAGGAAAGAGAAGGGATTCAGGGAGGACAATGTGGAGGCTATAGCAGTAGATCATGGGAAAGGTAACAGGGTCTGAGGATTAGATAATGGGCACACAAAATGGTGGGTTAGAGAAACAGACTGGAAATTGGGTATGAAGATAGAACCAATGAATGAATGTGGGGGCACAAACCAGAGAAAGGAAAGATAACTGTAAGGATTCTAGCTTGATTAACTGGGAAGATACCTAGGAAATGGAGGACTGAAGAAGGGGAGAGAGATTAAATCTGGAGATAAATATTTGGGGATTAATCATATAAATTGCTAGTTGAAACCTTAAGAATGGATGAAATTGCCATAGGAGAGGTGTGTAGAGGGAAGAAAAAAGGTCAAGGACAATATTTAGGACACAGAGGGAGGAAAGGAGCTAGAAAGAACAGAAAGGTAAGAAGAGGAGGTTTCACTGAAGAAATAGGAGTATGGAAGAACCAGGGATAGTGGTTAGTAGCGTCAAGGAGTAGAGAAGTTGGGAAGAATGGCATAGAAAAGGATATTGGATTTAGAATCAGAAGATTATTAGTGATCTTCAAGGGAACATTGTCAGTGAATTATGGAGGCAGAAGCCAGATTAGAGGGAATTTTGAGTCAGATTTGAGGCTATAAGCATAGATTACTTTTGTCGTAAATCTGCTAGAAAGGAATGTTGAGAAAGGATGAGTTCAGGTGTGATGTGATGACAGACTAACCTAAATTGCAAATGGAAAGGAAAAGAGTTGGCATCCAGAGAGCCTGAGGACACAGAATTGAGAGATCTTGGAGACTGACTTGATGTGGAGATTGTAAGAGAAAGGCTTCCACAGTTTTAAGACTTGGAGACTAGAAGAAGAGAGGTGCCATTTGTCAATACAAATAAGTTGGAAATAAGAAGGAAGTTTGGGTTCAACAATGACAAGTTTGATTTTAGACATGCTCATTAATATTTTCTAGGGCTACTGGTAGAGTCCACCTTTCCTCTGCTCCAGTGTCTTCCAAGGACAGAAATGAAAATCTCTTCATTGGAGCAGACTAGTGTCTTTCTTGGCTGTTTTGGTGGACTATATTTACAGGCTGGGTGCTAATCTCTCAGGAATCTCATTCCTACCTGGGATTCTAATTTATCCTAATATCTAAATCTGTTTACTCTCACATGGTAAACCACTATAAATTGCTGGTCCCCAGTAACCATGCAGAGAGGACATCCAGGTTGTTTATCTCAACCTGGTAAGACTCCAAAGGCAAGCCAGCAACTATACTAAGAACTTTTTTGTTCCAGTGCATCCAAAAGACTTCTCTAACTCCATGTCCACGTGACTCTTATTGCTTTCCCTATGGCCCTGGGTCTCAAATATTGTCTTCCTTGCTCTACAGCTAAGTCCTAAAGGACTAAAGCCAAGATCAGATTTTGAGCCAGGGTGGTGTAGTATTAAGCTCCAGGTCTGGCCTGCTAAAGCCAAAATTCTAATATCCTCTGTTTTCAAAAGATCCAACACATTGATCTTACTATTTTTTTAATGTTCAGTGACCATGGAGTGGCCTGAGTCTGGTAATACTCACATATTCTAACCAAAATGAAAAGGATCCTTTTCTGCTGGCCCTTTCTGTCTGCTGTTTTTGGTTTTCAGTAGCTGAAATTTTCCGTTGAGGTTCTTTTAAACGCCTACATGCAAACTACAGAGCACTCAAGTTTTGGTGGGATGTTACCCACAGCTGGAGTGATGGAGGAAGGGAGGCGGGTATAAGCTTCAGGTGCATCCTTCTCTTAAAAAAAAAAAATTGAAAAACCAAAAAACACTTAAGCAAACAAATTCCATCTGAAGGCAAGCAAGACCTGTCCAGAGAAAGAAGGAAATGAACCGCTTCCCAAATAGGAAATAGATATCCGTTCCTATATAACCCAGATGCCTAGGATGGGCAGATTCGAAATTGCAAGATATGTTGGATGTATCCTACAGCCCTACGTCTCTGCTAGTCAAAGAGTGAAAGGTTGTGAACCATGAACCGTGGCAAGAAGCGGTGGAACGGTGTTGCAGCCATGGCTCCTCTGATGGTGGTTAAGCCCTGTCTTGCTCTATTAAGCAAACACAGTTATTGTAGATGAAAGGTAACCTTGATAGAAGTGAAAATTGAAACTGGGGTTGAAGGTGGCAAGCCAGGCACAGCTGCAGTTCTACTTCCTCCTGTGTGGCAACAGGAGCAACACTTACGGATGTTTTTTGGAAGGGATGTAGTTTTTTAGAATATCTTTTTTTTTTTTTTAGCGTGTTTTGGGTTTTAACATCTATACCACTGATGGAAGGATGTGGAGTAGCATTGGTAAGAAGCCACGGAGACTTTCTGTGTATATTATGTGAGGTCGAATCCAGGTGATTGATAGTTCGGAGTTAAGGCTGCATAACCTTGGACAAATCCCTGGAAAAGTCTCTACTCCCAGATTTCCTCATCTGGGAAAGAAGAGGGTTGGATTAGAGATGATCTCTAAATTCTCTTTCAGCCCTAAATTCCATTGATTTGTGATTCCTCATGGGGAAGTAACAACTTCATATTTCTAAGGACCAGTGTTTGAAAAAGTAAGCATTTAGACAGCATATTTTGTATACAAAAAAAAAAAACCTCTTCCAAATGTTTACTGTTATTATATCAGGTAAATTTTTAGGTTTTGTTAATGTCAGTACATAAATTTGCCTTCTTCATTTCTTATGTTCTTCAGCTTAAGAGTATTGCAGCTCTTTTTTTAAAAAAATGTATTTATTTATGTTACAACTGTTTTTAAGATAGTACTTAGCCACTCACTTAGTCCAGTCTTTCCTCTCCTACCCAGTCCTTAACTTGGGTACGGATATCCTTCCCCTTACTTAGGTTGAGCCCCATTTACCTATGTCCGTGGAAGTGGCTCCTTAGATTATATTAAATAATTACTTTTCTTAGTCGGGTGCAATGGCATGAGCCTATACTATAGTCCCAGCTACCTGGGAAGCTGAGGCAGGAGGATCCCTTGAGCCCAGGAGTTTGAGGCTGCTGTGAGCTATGATCGTGGCTGTGAATAGCCACGGCACTCTAGCCTAGGTGACAGAGTGAGAACCTGTCTCTGAAAAAAAAAAAAAAGGATTACTTTCTTTTTATCTTTCTCAATACATTTCACTAGAACTGTTGGCTTCCTATATATTCATTGTTGTGCCTTTTTCAGCTCCCAGAGAGACAGAGAGATACCATGTGTTTTGGCAGTTCTTATACATGGAAAGTGAAGACACAAAGTATGGCTTAAAATCAGAAAAACCATGTTAACTATTCAGCTTCAATCTTAGTGACTTAAATTGGATGCACTTGAAGGATTAAAACAGTGTTTTCTCCCTGAAACCTAAGAGTGCATCACCTTGCTTTTTTAACTATAGCCACCAAAAGAAAAAAAAAAAGAACTAAATAGGAGAACCTTTATCTCCCTCAGCTCTAGAAGAAAAGTTGCTCAAAATGTTTGTTTCATGATCACTTTGAACAGTCTTAGCTAAAATTTATTATCTCTAATTTTTTGGATAGCCTGAACTGTCACCTATTTTTATGTGTATGAGTATGTGTTTTCCTCTGTGGTTCAGAATTCAAATAATGTGTGGTCATCCTAATGGTATTTTCTTGCTTTGTAGATGTACAATGTTATGCCAGCTTCATTTGGTATTTACTTGTCAGCTGTGGATCTCTGCTTTTTGAGCTGCAAGTACAGTCATTGTCCATTTCTCACATTTTCTTCCCTGCAGATGATTCGATGAAAGTGAAAGATGAATACAGTGAAAGAGATGAGAATGTTTTAAAGTCAGAGCCCATGGGAAATGCAGAAGAGCCCGAAATTCCTTACATCTATTCAAGAGAATATAATGAATATGAAAACATTAAGTTGGAGAGACATGTCGTCTCCTATGATAGTGGCAGACCAACCAGTGGAAAGATGAATTGCGATGTGTGTGGATTATCCTGCATTAGCTTCAATGTCTTAATGGTTCATAAGCGGAGCCATACTGGTAAATAGTCTCCTTTTTTTCATTCTTCTGAAAACTCTCCTAATGCAGCCACGTGGGAAATGAAATGGTAGAATTTAGGACTTCTGATTATTGCCATTGATTTTTGCTATAACTCTGATGCATCTCTTTCTTTCTGCATTTTCATTTACTCAGTGAATTTTATCCCTACTTTGCTCATGTGTTTGGCAAACATATTGCAAATGCTGTGAATAAAAAAAGACTTCAGAGAGCACAGTGTTCTAGGTCAGCCAAACACTTTTTCTTCCGTTCGTAAGTAGGAGTTGCATTGTGTGATTCATTTCTTAGCCATCTTTCATATATTTTTGCATAACACTTTTAATAAAAGCAGATCTCTTTACTGCATTGGGTTCAAATTTGGTAGATGAAAGGGTATAGTTTTTATTACCGGTTTTAAAGAATTTACCTTCAGACAATAAACAGATAGTCTATAGAAATGCATACAGACACAGCAGTTACACTGAGCCAATAGATTCCCTCTGACATCTGATAAGACTTTAAAAAGGGTATCTGAAGTTACCTTGTTAGAACTTTAGGCATGACTCTTTTTTCAGAGGAGATTATACTCAAAAGGAATACTTAGTAATAGAAAAACTTACATCTAGAAAGTACCTCTAGAGCTACTCTTGTTTCTTTGCTCTGATTCAGGACAAGGTGAGACCTAAAATAGCCTTGCTAGGTGAGTGCTTTTTCTCTCCTACAGGAAGATTCCATAAGTAAGTCTTAACGCTTGCCTTGCAACTAGCTCCCAACTGATCCCATTAGGAGCAAAAACTCTACAAGCTGAGCTTTGGCCCTAGGCATCTAATCTGTGCATATGCTTCTCCACTTGCCTAGTGATCAGAAATCTCCTTTTTTGTCCTTTTTAAAGGTGAACGCCCATTCCAGTGTAATCAGTGTGGGGCATCTTTTACTCAGAAAGGTAACCTCCTCCGCCACATTAAACTGCACACAGGGGAAAAACCTTTTAAGTGTCACCTCTGCAACTATGCATGCCAGAGAAGAGATGCGCTCACCGGGCATCTTAGAACCCATTCTGGTAAGTGCTGGAAATAAGCATTCCATGTCTCTAACTGCGTTCCTCCTAGCCCAGTGTGGAACCCAGAAAGAGTTAAGTATGGAGGTTTTAATCTGTCATTCTTGTTCTGAAGGGTTATAACAGCAGAGACCTCTAGGGCTAATTACACTTCCATTAAGGCATTAATTGCTCTCCGTCTGCCTCATTGGAAATGATCCTCCCCTCACCAGCCTTACTCCCTTGGAGAACGGCAGTCAGACCGGAAGAGCCTGCCCTATAAAAATACCTTTTTAATTTTTGTGAGAAAATTACAGCCATCAGTATTTTTTTATGGTAAACTTTATTTAAAAAGATTATTTTCCTAACACACTCACACACACACACACACACACACACACACTCTTTCCATTCAAAAGAGTGGACAAGCAAATTCTATACAGTTTTTAAATTATGAAAAACGAATCCAGGTATAATTCATTGTTTGGGGGTTACTTTTTGGCCATTTTGCGCTAAATTGCTTAAACCCAACTTTCCTCTTGATCAGCCTACTTATTTTCAAATCTCTACAAGATGAGCAGCAATAAGAATTCATAAAAAGCCATGTGACCTTTTGATGTTTTTACTCCTTATTTTAACCAAGCAAGATAATACACTTTTTTTCAACATTTAGAATTTCCCTCCTAGAAAAATAAGACTGAGGTTTTTTTTTCTTCTTCTTCAAATTTGGGACCTCATGTTCTTGATGTTATCTGACAAAATTTTAATTGAAGAAAAAAAAGTTTGTTTTTATGTTAATCCACATCTACTGCTTTGACTAAAACCCAGCCCTAAACTCGAAACTGGTTATAATTCAAAGACTAGGATTAAACAAGTCAGCTCCAGCAAACCCCCATGAGAAAACGTCAGTGGCGAAGGAAGGTTTCTTTCTGTTACAGCTTACTTTTCAAAGTAATGAATTAAGGATGAGTTTGGTTCCAAAAAATTAGAATAGTTCCGTTGCCTTTTTCAAGTAAGAAACAACAATAGTAGGCATTTTTAGACAGATTCTAAATGACCCCAATTTATGCAGAAACTTAATAATTTTAGCCCTAGCAAACCTGCATTTATTTTAATTTGAGATTTCATAAAGACCTCTTAGTTCTTCACATCCCAAAGCCTCTATTTAAACAGTGTAAGAGGAGTTAGAAAATAAAAATTGCAGTCCCTAAAACTCTGACAAATTCACTGGGTATATTTTGTCAACAAATCAGAAAGGCTAGCCTTGCTCAGAGTTGAAGTGATTACTTATATATTTCAAGCAGATAAGACATTTGGAGAGTTGGGAGGATAAAGATGTCCTGAACTGTACAGGTAAACTTTTGAGGAAATGTTTGCTTCATCTTAGACATTTAGATGAAGTTATTTTTGCAGTTCATTCTTATTTCTGTTATTCAAAAATATCCTCAATTAGCTCAGTTTTTTATTGTGTTAGCCTAGACTATAGCCTATTTCCTATTGCCATTTGGCAAGGATGAGCTAAATGTATTCAAATATGTCAATTTTCCAAAAGAGCCATCGGTTTCTAGAAGAATGGCCAACTCCCTCAAACCACGGCATTCTTTACTTACAGCCAGAGGGATGTCACAAAATGAGGAATCCCTTCCTGTTTCATCCTTATACCACATACCCTCCTTGAAGAATAAAAGGGCTCTGTTTTCTTTTTCCTGAAGAAACAAAATTTGATCTGGAGCCAAAACAGTATGCTAAATGGCCGTCTTTACTTCCAAATCCTTTCATCTGTGACAGGAGGTGATGCTTTTGAAGAATACTCTGACATGATCATTAATCATAAACCATAACCTTATTTCAGCTAAATAAATTTAAAAGCAATATAGAATTGAAAAGTGTCCAAGTACTCTGGCTTCAGCCAGCCATCCCGTTTCTAGTGAACAGAGCCCAACACGCCCTCTGTCTGGAACCCCTGGAACCCTTGAGGGTTTCTGAGTGTGCCTTGTGCTCTCCCTCTAGTCGAGAAACCCTACAAATGTGAGTTTTGCGGAAGGAGTTACAAACAGAGAAGTTCCCTCGAGGAGCACAAGGAGCGCTGCCGCACATTTCTTCCAAGCACCGACCTGGGGGACACCGGTGAGTTCACGCGACACTCGTTCCACACACATTTAGTGAGCACCTGCTGTCCTCGGAGGCAGGATGCGACAGTAAGTGAAAAGACAAAACCGCCTGCCCTCGTGGAGTTTATATTTTAGTGGAGGCAGACAGATCATAAGCAAAGTAAATAAGCAAACTATATATTAGGAGGTTAGAAGGTTGCAAGTGCTATTGAGAAAAATGAACCCGGGACTGAGGGTGAGTCAGGGAAGGCTTCAGCAAGGTAGCAGCATTTCAGCAGACTTAACAAGATGAGGAGTGAGCCCTGCAGATTAACTAGACCACAGCAAATGCAAAGGCCCTGGGGTACAAGTTTGAAGATGTGTAAATAGCCCTGTGTAGACGAAACAGAGTGAGTAATGGGATATGAAGCCAGAGAGGAAATGGGAAATCAGATCTATCAGGTCTTGTAGGCCTTCCTAAAGACTTTGGCTTTTACTCTGAGTGAAACTGAAAATCTTTTAGAGGGTTTTGAACAAAGAGGTGACATCATTGGAATGCTCATTTGAAAAGAATCACTCTACTTACTTTTGAGAATAGATTGTATTTGGGGCAAGGTTGGAAGTTGAGGATTCCAGTTGGGAGGCCATTGTTATAATTGAAGCAAGAGAAAACTGTGTCTTGGTAGTGGTAGAGGTGGTGAGAGGTAGTCTAATTCTACATATATTTTAAAGATAGAGCCAGTTGGATTTCCTAACAAGTTGATGTGGGATGTGATGAAGAATGGAGTTGCCGTTTACTGAAATGGCAAAGATTGAGGGTAGAGCAGGTTGGGAGTGCATGGGGAAGAGTCGATTAATACTGCAAGGATTCATGGTGGCACATACTTACAGTCCCAGCTACTCAGGAGGCTGAGGTGGGAGGATCCCTTGACTCCAGGAGTTTGAGGTTCCACTATACTCCAGCATAGCCAATAAAATGAGACTCTGCCTCTTAAAAAAAAACTGTAAGGATTTTCTTTGCATAATGCCTGCCCAAAAAGCATACCCGTGTCTACTCGTATGATTTATTGTGATGCTTCTTTGGCTTTGGGGATTTCTTATTTTATTCAGTAGTTCGAATTAAATACCTACTGGCAATTGATTGAAACACTAGAAGTCTTTCCATATCTCAATTGTGGTTTTATTTCCTTTTCATTCTTTAGTTGAAACCGCCTGAAACTTTTTTGTGTCACATCTCTGCAGCTGTCCTTTGTCATATCCAGTTGACCGGCAGCCTGGGTCTGCAACTTGGGTTGTCTGACATTTTTATTTGGATACTTGAACCAATTGCTTATTTAGAGTAGTGAGTACAAATCCTCATGGGACTTACTTAGTATTTGAGAGCAGTAGTTAGAGTTGAATAGTTTGAGCAGCCTAAAGCAGAAAGATTGCAAAAATATGAGAGAAATAATGAGAAACTCAGGGAAAAAATGGGGTAGAAGTGATGAGTATTGAAACTGTCCCCATTTTGAGTAAGAGGAAGCATTTGTTTTAGATAAAGTCTACATTACGGTGTTAGGAGCTGACCAACTGAATTCTGTTGGTTTGCACTGCTTCTGCTTTTTATCCTGATGGTATCTTTGGTTTTATCAAGGAGTTGGATTTTCTCTTTATTTCTAAAGAGAAATATTTACTCCCTTGAAAAAACAAACAGGCTGGACCTGGTGGCATGCACCTGTAGTCCCAGCTACTCAGGAGGCTGAGGCAAGAAGATCCCTTTAGCCCCAGCAGTTCAAGTCCAGCCTGGGCAACATTTATTTTTTGAGAACTAAAAAATAAAAATAAAACAAACCTAAAACTTGGATTTTCACATCATAAAGTGGCATGCTTCATGTGAGGCAGTGCTTGCCCAATGACAGAACATTGGAATCTTTACCTGCGTTTCCAAATTTCAGGAGATAGGCAAAGTTCTTACTGTGAGAAATTCCCAAGTTATGAAAATCCACTATATTCCAAATAGAATCATAACTATTTAAAGCTAAAAGATGAAAGAGAGCATCTGATCCTACCTCTTCCTTTCAGAGGTGAGGAAAGCGAGACTCATCAAAATTCATTGACTTACTGCTATCCCATGGTGTGTATGAAAAAAAAAATTAGTGACATACTGAAAAATCACTGGAGCTTAAGCTGTTTTGTGATTAGCCATATTTTTATTTTCAAAAATTTTAGATATAATTCACATACCATAAAATTCACCTTTTTTAAAGTGTACAGTTTAGTAGTTTTTAATATATTCACAATGTTGGACAGCTGTCAGCACTATCTAATTCCAGCATATTTCCATCACCCAAAAAAGCAATGCTGTACCTATTAGCAGTCACCCCCTATTCCCTCTCCCTCCAGCCTCTAATCTACTTTCTGTCTCTATGGGTTTGCCTATTCTGGACATTTAACATAAATGGAATCACAATATGTAGCCTTTTATGCCTGGCACCTTTCACTCAGCATGATGTTTTTGAGGCTCATCCATGTTGGAGCATGTATCAGTACTTCCTTCTTTTTTGTGGCTGGATAATATTTCATTGTATGGATTTACCACATTCTAGTTATCCATTCATCAGTTAGTGGATATTTGGGTTTTTTCTACTTTTTGGCCTAGTTGGCTATATTTCTTGACGGTTATATATTAACTGGTTAGCAAAAGCAATATAGTAACACACATACGAATAGACTCGCACACACCGGAAGTGGGGGGGATCAGCAAACTGATTTTGGGAGCTGGATGAGTGGCACACGCCTGTAATTCCAAGGTGGGAGGATTGCTTGAGGCCAGGAGTTGGATACCAGCCTAGGAAGCATAGTGAGAGCTCATCTCTACAAAAATTTAAAAATTAGCCAGGTGTAGTAGTGAGCATCTGTAGTCCTAGCTACTCAGGAGGCTGAGGTAGGAGGATTTCCTGAGCCAGGAGTTCAAGGTTACAGTGAGTTATGATCCTGCCACTGAACTCCAGCCTGGGCAACAAAGCAAGACCTTGTCTCAAAAAAAAAAAAATTGATTTTTGAAATAAGGTCACCATCTTACTTCCCATCCCCACAACCTTTTTAAGAAATGTCAAATTAGGAAAAGTATCAGAGGTAATATTCTAGTTATCTTCAGTGGTAGTAGGTGATTCAGGAAATGCTGAAATACAGAAGTTGAGTTAATTTGCATTTCATAGGTGGTTTGATAGGATGCATGCAACATACTTTAAGTCTCAGCAAAAAAATAAAGGGTTAACTAAGTCAGCAAGTTTTGGTTTTTTTAAAAAAGACAAATATGTTGTAATAGTGGTTTCATGTTACAAAATATGTAAAGTCACAGCTTAATCAAGTGTAAGTACTGCATGTCAGTCAATATATTACTTCATCCTTTATATTTCAAATAGTTCCCATGATTTTTCCTGAGATCCAAAATGTCAAGAATATCTAATCCGACACAAGGCAATCTTTTAATTATTGCCACTGCTCCCTATATGGTTTCTATTTCTGTTTCCCTCTCACAATTGGCAGTCAAGTGTGGAATAGTGTTCCATTCCGAGCCTGACCGATACAGCGCATCTTATGCCTTCATCCCTCACTTTTAAAGAGATGATGCTGCATTGCTACTGTGGTTGCAGCACTCAGTCATCAAGTGCTTGTTGTAAATTGAAGTGCAGCATAGTGTGAGAGCCAAGCCTGGGGACAAACCCTCCCCCATTGGGAAGCAGAGAGATGAAAAGGCCTTGGAGTGCAGACCAGCCTGCAAAAGAACGCAGGTATTGGGCAAGAGGACTTCCGGTCTTGCCAATCATTTTCTTTTATTCAGATAGCATTTGTTGAGTTCTCTGAGTGCCAGCAGTGTGTCAGAACTGTTTGTAAAGATGAGTAAAAGTCAAGCTCCTGCCCTTTTTCTTTTTCTTTTCTTTATTTTTAAAAAAGGGTCTGTTACTTGTGGGCTAAAGTGCAGTGGTGTAATCATAGCTCACTGTAACCTTAAGCTCCTGGGCTCAAGCAATTCTCCTCCCAAGTAGCTAGGACTACAGGTTCACACCACCACACCTAGCTAATTTTTTTTTTTTTTTAATTTATTGTAGAGACAGGGTTGCCCAGGCTGGTCTCAAACTCCTGACCTCAAATGATCCTCCCGCCTTGGCCTCCCAAAATGCTAGGATTACAGGAGTATGCCAACACAGCCAACCAAGCCCCTACCCTTCCTACCCTTTAAGAACTCACAATCCAACAAGACACTTGATCTGTTAGTACAAAGCAGAGGTCTAATAGAGACACATGATATTGCTACTTCAGTCCAGGTTTCTACCCCAGATATCACAAGTGACATCATCAAAATATTTCAGTTTTGCTCTGCTGTCTTAATGGAGTATATATGAAAAGAAGGAAAAATATAGAAGACCATAGACTTCATTTTTTCATTAGCTTGATCCTTATTCCAGAAATCGAGTAACAGCTGGTATAGAGATTCATTTAGCTTCATTTTATACAAATTATGAATACTTGGAGCAGGACATATTTTTGTCTAACAATGAATTCTAGCAATAATAAGATTTTTAAAGTAATTGAATATTATATTTATTTATGAATTCAGGAGTCAAAACCATTCATCTTCATTCTCATTGTTTCAGTGAAGCTAATATAATCATGAAGATTTCAAAATAAACTTATATTTTTACCAATGTGGCAGTCCAAAGAAAATGTTATTTTCCCAACCTGTTCTTTTTAAAAATCAGTACTATCTCACAAGGCAGTATTCATTTTACTTGCTCAAAAAGGCAACCGTTTTATTTAACTTTTGTTAGAACCTGCCTCTGTCTTTGATAGCAATCTCTTGTTAGACAATTCTTATTGCACAATAACACCACTTTGTTCCACTGTTCATTGGCTACGGACTGACCACAGCATAGAAAAGAAAGGAAGCAATGCCTCTTATTTAAGGTCCATTGAACACTTCAAGATCTAATGAAAGACTTTGAACAAAAACAAAGCACAACATAATTACATAGTTAAATCTGCAATGACTTTGTG